GAGAAAGATTACGTTCCCGAAGAAGCCGCGCTCGTCCCGCTGCCCAGCTCTGACTCTGCCATGTATTTGGCAACCCTGCGCAGCGAGAGGGCGGGGATCGTCGCGAGCCCAGGTGCGTCCCAGGGTGGGAGCCGCAGCAGCACCAGCAGCGATTGATATTGATGCGAGTCCAAGTGCCCAGGGTTGTGTATACATCTGCAAGGGCCTGCATGCTTCGGGCACTGGCGCGCGCACCGCGCTTGCGCCCGTGGCTGGGGGTGCTCGAGCACCCGTGCATTCAATCCAGCTGCTCGTAGTGGCAGCTTGATCCGTGTGGCACTGGAGACTGTGTCATGGGGGGACTCTTGTATCAGAGACTAAGCGTGAGGTGACTGCTGAGGTGCAGTCATCCGCCTCCATGACCCTTCTGTTCGCTTTGTGTACGGGCCCAGGCGACGCAGGGGGCTGCAATCGCCGTCTAGAAGGCATGCAGGCATTCAGGGGAGAGACCTGGGGAGAGCAGGTCGAGAGACCGAGACGCGGCTTGCGCCCCCTGCGCGCCGCCTGGCGTCCTGAGTCTCGTGGCGGCCGTACTCAATGTATTCCATTCCATTTCGCTGCCTGCAATTGAATAAGAAACTGAACGAGACGGTCTCGCCCCATCTCCTCAGCCTCCTGCCCTCGTCCTCCTGCTCCCCCTGCCTCCTCCTCAAGCTCCTCCTCCTCCTCCTCCTCCTCGCCCCTCCCGTCCTCCTCCTCGCCTCGCCCCTCCTCCTCTCCCGTGCAGTTTGTCTGTGAGTCATGTCCTCTCTTTGCTGCACGCTCCGCTTCCGATGTGTCTTCTAGTAGAGGTTCCCCTCTGCCCAGGGCCAGAGTGCACATGCCTCTCCATTTCCCCTGCTGCCTACGTACCAGCTCTGTGTCATAACATTAAGATATCAGGCGCTTTTCGGGAACAGATGGGCCTTGCACTAAACGAAGTGGAACAAATCGAACAAACTTCGCAGCCTTCGCATGTTGGCCGCTCTCCAGGAGACTTTCGGTGGACCCGAGAATCTGGCGTCTCACTCAAAACTGTTCTGCCGCAGAGCAATCGCCAGAAAATGAAAAGGGCAACGAAGAGGGGGTGGGAGATATGGAAGATGAGGAGTGGGGAGGATGGGGGGTCAGTGAGAAGGGGAGGGTTGATGAAGAAGAATAATGAAGAGGATGGGCGACGCTGACCGACCGCCTGCTGTGGACCTCGTTGAATGTCCGTCCGCATTGTCCGCCTCCTTCATCCATTCTTATCGCTCTTCTTCCCTCCCTCCCCCTTCCGTCATGCGTCCTCCTCCTCGTCCTCCTTCTCCTTTTTTCGTCACCACCCTTCCACCAGATCCCAGGAACTCGTGACATTCAGGGCGGAAGCCATGTTGTTGGGCTTTTTGGGGTACCCGAACATCTTGGAAAACCAGTGGGGAGGAAAAGAACGAAACCTGGGGCAAGCCAGGACCACAGATCACAGCAATCGCCGCTCTTGTCGGGAAGCCGTTGTGCTTCAAGGGCTTTGCCTGATTTGAAAGCCTCACTTGCCTTACCTGGTTTCTAGAGTCCGCTCCAAGATTGGCCTCAGCTTGGACTCCCTTGTCTCGATCGATGGAATCGAAGGCGCTCGCAGTGGCCCTACCTTCCCAAGCCGGGGAGGCTGGCAGCACGGCAGCCGCGGCCGCGGCGTCTGCCGCGACGTTCAAGAATCAGCCCAAGACCAGCGACATCAGCCCCAGCCCCAAGTCCGAGCCCACGCCCAGCGATCCATCACACGCGGCTGGGGGCAGCCAAGGCAGTAGTGCTGGAAGCAGCGATGGACCCGAGGCGAGCGGCGCTGCTGTCGTCCCTGTGCCGCGGCCTCTCGCGGCAGACGCCATGGAGGTGTACTTTCGTGAGCCAGCCGCAGGCGAGGTGGTCGACGTGGCGAAGCTGTTTGGTCCCGACGGTGGTGCGATACGGTTGAGAAAGGTCTTTCAGATCTATGAGGTCAGGCCCAGCCCGCTGAGGATCCACTTCTTCAACCAGCAGGGGGAACGACAGATATTCACAGACGAGCTGAACAAGCGCGACCAAAGTTCTACTCTCCATGGCTTGAAGGAGTCCATCAAGTCCAGGGGGCTCGTCCCTGGCGTGTCTGGCGAGCCGTGGTTCGTTTTGTCTGATGGGGAGGTGCCGCCGTATAAGGCGATCACTTGGGGGCACCGCATCAATGCAGTGTATGAGCTCCACGCAGAAGCCCCCGAGGCCTCTCAAGTGCAGACGGTTAAAGAGACTGTTCAGGCGGGCGTGATTGCTCGCCGTTTCACGAGCCGGATGCCCAAATTCATGCGGGCGTACATGAGGGACTACCACAACGTGGAGGTGTTTCAGAGAGGCAGCGGGTACCCGTATCTAGAGCTCTTGAAGGAGGTGCCAGACATGGAGGAACGATCGTCAGAAAGCCAAATAAATTGATATCCTATCTAATTTGGCGGGGTAGGGGACGAACGGGGAAGCGGTGGAGGGAGGCGCCTTGCCCTCCTGTCATACAACGCAGCCGAAACGAGGGTCCCGGGCCGCAGAGGAAGGAGGAGGAGGGCGAGGAGGGAGGAGGAGGGGGAGGGAGGAGGAGGGCGAGGAGGAGGAGGAGGAGGAGGGAGCCAGGGCGTGGCCAGTTGCAGCCCCCCAGGCAAGCTGGGCTGTCTTGAAGACCGAGGGGACCACAGCTCGATCGACTGACTACGAGAAGAAATATTGGGATTTCATCAAGAGCCGCTATTCCGACAAGCTCAACTCATTCGCCCATTTTGATGCCGCAAAATCGTTGGCAAGGCGCATCAGCACTCTCCAGATCGATCATATCGAGTGGGCGCGGAAGCACGTCGACTTCATGAACCCGCGCTTGCACCACCAGTCCGTGATCATGATCATGGCTCAACTCACATCGGGAATGCACAACTCTTTCAAGGCCTACATGTCCAACGAGGACGTCGCCATTCTGATCGGCGAGGCCATGAAGTTCTGCGTGCCCGTCCGCGCAGATCCTCCTCGGCAGCGTAAGCTACCATGGGTGTTCGACAAGACGGGCGCGTCCGTGTCCGAGCTTGCCTCCTACCTCGCGTGCCCGATGGGGGAGACAGCCGAGGTCTACAAGCAGAGCGTTAGACCAAAGGCGAAGGCCAAAGGCAAAGCAATGGCAAAGGGCAAAGCGAAGCCCAAGCCTGCCCCTGCGCCCGCCGCCAGGGAGGAAGTGTCTCTGACTGTGGACGTGTCGCACCCAGACGCGAACGCCAACGCCGAGTCGAGGGGTCGCTACTTCGGAGATGACCTCATGGCGGCCATCAACTTCACCATCAGCGAGACTGCCAAGGGCCAGGCCTCGATCATCGACCACCCCGCCATGGTCGAAGTGAAGAAGGAGTTGGTGAGCTATGGATTGGAATTCCTGCGGCAGAAGAAGGTGTGCGAGGGGCCCAGCGGGCCCCAACCACGATGCGTGGGCGTTGTGGCAGACGAGGGCTGAGTGACATCCGAGCCAGCATCCGTCGCTGCCACAGCGTCCTCACCGCACCGTGGTTTGGGCAAGTCGGGATCCTCGGAAGGTAGCCTTCAAGGGTTCGATCATTACCAAGTGGAGCGACGCCAGGAACACCTTCCAAGCCTCGGCCAAGGAGTCCGTGGACAGGTTCAGACTGCTGGAGACGGATTGCGGCGAGGATATCGACATGGAGGTTGCCGCCGACGGCGCCACTAGGGAGATCATCGAAGAATTGAGGAACTCCGCGCAGGCGCAGGTCACCGATGACCCCATCCGCGACCTCCAGGCCCGCTTCACGCACGTGACCGATGAGAAGCCCGTGCCTCTCAGCGACACGCTGAAACAGTACGTCAGCCTCAACCGCGTGTTCAAGGCTGAGGCCCGGATGCACGTGCGCTACGCCATGGCTGCCTCCTCGGTCATGGACGCTCTGGAGGGTCATTCCACCCTCGACCAGTTCGTCGACTCGTGCTTCAAAGCGGCCCCGATGGGGCCAAGCATATGCAAGCAAACTCCTCAATCCTCGATCCTTCCTTTCCTCCCCTCCAGCCTCCCCCTCCCCCCCATCTGCATTCCTCTCCTCCTCTCCCTGAGCCTCCACTTCCTCGTCTCTCGCCCCCCGTCTTTTTCTGCAGATCACAGAAACAGGGGGGGAGAACAGGAAAGATAAAGACAGAGAAAGAGAAAGAGAGAGAGAGAGAGAGGAGGGAGGAGTTTTTTATTTTGTAATGTCGCTCCCAGGTCACCAGTGCGGATGACCGACTGTTCTGCGATGCCGTGCTTGACATTCTTGCCGAGACCGCCGTCGCGGCCATGACCTACAGCGAGATTCCAAAGGCGCTGGTCGAGGCAGGGTTCAAGGACGCGGAGGCTCTGCTCCTCTTTGTTCGTCTGCGAGGCTCCTATATGCAGCAACTTGTACAGGACATGCTCGCAAACCAGCAGACGAAGGAACTCGCCGCTAGCGAGAGCGACGGCACCCTCCTCAGTGGTTCCATTGTGAATGGCTCAAACAAGCTGTCCGCCGAGGAGAGGGTCACCCTGGCGGAGGCCGATGGCGCTGTTCGCGGAGACAGTGAATGGCACGCCTTCTGGTACAATGTCCTGGTGGGCCTGGCCAAGGGCAAAAAAATCGCCGCGATGATTTCCCTTCAGCCGCCATCGCGCCGCTTGAAGAGGGAGAAGAGCAAGCCAGAAGAGAGAGCTCCGGCACCTGGCCAGGCCCTCATGGTGGATCCCACGAAGGGCGCGACGGAGCCGCCGATGGACCCGACTTTCGTCCCAGTTGATGCCCTTCTGAAGATCCCCGCCTTGGTGTCCATGGGCCTCAATATCAATGCAGCACAGGCGAAGGTCCGAGAGCCATTGTGGGAATAATGCGTCGATGGTTGCTCTTTGCCCCCTGGTTCGCCAGCTCGGCCAAACGCGAGCGCGCGCGTTTGGCTTGGCTTGCGAATTGGGGTTCAATGAGCCCGCGATGCAATACGCCCACGGGACGTCTCATGTGAAGGGTATCGAGAGTCAGCTCTCGGCGTGGTCTTGGGGATTGTTCACGAAGAACGTGGGGGAGTTCTCTGGGAAGGTGGCGGTAGATCTCCAGAAGGTCCCCAAGACGCCAGTGTATCTGACAGACGACGCAGACATTGCCTTCCCAATGATTTTCGCAGCTCCCGTGACCTACACGCGCCCCACGAAGGCAACCTTCCACTTGACGTCCATGTTCAATGGGCAGATCGACTTTTACTTGAATGGTTCCTTGGCCAACGGCCTTCAATCGGACTGCTTTGTGCCAGCGTGGATGGTCGCCGTCACTGACAAGCAGAGCGATTCGAACGTCTCGGTGAGCTACGTCGAGTACTATGGCAAGATCAACGTGGCAGGCAGAATCGAGTGGGAGACGGATGAGTCAGTGGCTGAAGATGCCGTTCAAAAGAAGGTTGGGAGTGAGAGTAGGGCTGAATCGGTCAAAAACGGCACAATGACCCAGGAGCAGGCTGACGAGGAGGTGGAGGCTGAGAAGACGCTAGCTGAGGAGAACCGCAAGTGGATGTTCACCGCCAGCCTGCCGTACATGCTCGTCGAGCCTCAGAAGATCGACAGGGCGGCGGCCAGGACTGAACTGAGGCGCTTCATCACCCCCGCCGAGCAGGATAGCAAGCGGCGCAGGGCTGACGAGAAACAAGCGGTGAAGGCCGCTGCCACGGGCTCGGTGGGCAGCAACATCGAATCGCTCAAGAGGAAGATCGATCCCGCCGCAGCGGCCTCGCAGCCCAAGAAGGGGCGTTCTAGCGGGAGCAGTGGCGGTGGAGATGCTGCTCTCGTCAAGGCATGCAAGCATTTGTTTTCATAGAGAACGCATGCGGTACACGCTGTTGGCGATTTGATTTTTGCTGGCACGATCCTGTACATAGCTGCCGCTTCCAGGCGCTTCACTCGCCGCGCCGATCTCGTTCGTTTGAGCCCAGAGGCTCTCCGCTCTCCACTCTCAGCATGCATGCTTCGAACACGTGGCGCACGCTCCGCGTGCGCGCCCGTGGTCGGGGCGCGCCAGTCTCAAGCCTTTGCGTGCTCGGAAGACGTGGCGCGCGCTCCGCGTGAGCGCCCGTCGTCGGGGCGTGCCAATCGATCGCCCCGGGGGACCTGGCTGCATGGGGGGGGGGGGCAGAATGACTCGATCGAGAGACAAGGGACAGAAAGGGGAAGGTAAGGCAATGATGCGGCTTCGAGCGCGAGTTGCGCGCTCTACAGTTTTTTTTTCAGACCGTTCAAGGATGGGCAGGGGGGGCTCCAGCTTCGGAGACTAAGCGTGGAGGTGGTGCGTCGCGATTCGCGTGACAAGCCACCCGCCCCCTGCCACTCGCCCACTGGTCCTTGAATGCTGCATTCGTGTTGTAGCGCAGCGGTGGCACAGAGTTGAAGCAAGTACAGAACTCAATGTATTCCATTCCATTCCATTCCATTCCATGCAATGATCAACGAGCCAGCGCTTCGAAAGAGGAGGATGGGCTGCTGATGCTGCTCCTGCTTCCTCTGCTGCTGCTGCTGCTGCTGCTGCTGCTGCTGCTGCTTCTGCTGCTTCTGCTGCTCAGGAGGAGGAGGAGGAGGAGGAGGAGGAGGAGGAGGAGGAGGGAGGAGCGAGGAGGACGGAGGAGAGGGGGGAGGCCCCTCCTCCTTCCTCTCCTCCTCCTCCCTCCTCCTCCTCCTCCTCTCCTCCTCCTCCTCCTCCTCCTCCTCGAACCAGATAGATCAGGCCAGGGGCCCTGATCTATCTATCTGGTTCGGGCCCCTCGCGAGGCCCTTCAGAGCAGGAGTTTCGGGCCCTCACCTCCACCTCCTCCCCCTCCCCCTCCCCCTCCTCCTCCTCCTCCTCCTCCTCCTCCTCCTCCTCCTCCTCCTCTTCCTTCTCATCCCCTTTCTCCCTGGGTTCCTCGCCACGTCCTCTCCCTCCTCTTCCTCCTTCTCTGCCTCCTCCTCCTCCTTCTCCCCTGCCTCCTCCGCCCCTCTGCCTGCCTCGTAGCCTGCCCCCCCCTCAGCGCCGCGCGAGGCGCCTGTGCCGGAGCTGGCGCCGCGGCGCCGCCAGCGTCCGCCCCGCCCGCCAGCGGCTGAGGGCCTCCTGCCTGCCTCCCGACCCTTTCGGGGTGCGAGCGCTGGCGGGAGATCGGCGTCGTCCTCGCATCATCGTCGAATTGACGAGGTAGAAGGATGACGATAATGAGCAGGAAGGGGGGAGGAAGAGGCCGCGGGAGAGGAGGAGGGAGGGGAAGGTAGAGGAGTGGAGGAGGAGACGGAGGAATAGGACAGAAGGAAAGAAGGCCTGGCAAGCTTAGACAAGAGAGGAAAACCTGAGAAGCTACACAAAACAGTGGGAAGAGATGGTAGAACACTGGCGTAGCCGAGCCTGTGAGCAGCAGGGGGTTCAGTGGGCGCCCCGAGGCCTTGAAGGGTGCGCCTGGGGCCGCCTGAGGCCCCTGGGGCCCCTGGAGGCCCCGTAGGGGGAACCTGTTTGCAACTGCTCCCTTCGGGGGCGGCGCAGCCCCCAGCGAGTTACGCACGTCACGAGACTACGACTATTATAATTTACTATTACTACTACTACTACTACTACTACTACTACCTACTACTACTACTACTACTACTACTACTACTACTACTACTACTACTACTCTACTACTACTACTACTACTACTACTACTACTACTACTACTACTACTACTACTACTACTACTACTACTACTACTACTACTACGACTACGACTACGACTACTACTGCTACTACTACTACTACTACTACTACTACTACTACTTACTACTACGACTACGACTACGATAGACTACGACTACGACTACGACTACTACGACTACTACTACTACTACTACTACTACTACTACTACTACTACTACGACTACTACTACTACTAGACTACGACTACGACTACTATTACTACTACTACTACTACTACTACTACTATACTACTACTACTACTACTACTACTACTACTACTACTACTACTACTACTACTACTACTACTACTACTACTACTACTACTACTACTACTACTACTACTACTACTACTACTACTACTACTACTACTACTACTACTACTACTACTACTACTACGACTACTACTACTACTACTACGGCTAATACTACTACTATCACTACTACTGCTGCTGCTGCTGCTACTACTACTCTTAATAATAATAATGATAATGCTAATAATAACAAGGAGCCTAATAAGATTAACAAGCTTAATACTAAGACGAAGACGAAGCAGAGGAATCCGAATAATAATAATGATAATACTATGAAGAACTGTACCAGTAATCATAATAAGACAATAGAATAATAGTAATAATACGAACAAGAAGAATACTAATAATAATAGTAATAGTAATAGTAATAGTAATAATAATCATACTAATATTTTGAATAATAATAATAATTATAATAAAAATAATAATAGTAATAATAATAATAAACGGCGTACACATAAACTTACTTTTGGCGCTCCGCGCGGATCTCTTGGATCCGCGCTGGGCCCCTCAGCGGCGCCTCGCCCCTGGCGCGCTCCGCGCGCCAGGGAGGGGGACCCAGCGCAGATCCAAGAAATCCGCGCAGACCTCCGCGCGGAAATCCGGGGGGCAAGCAGAACAGTATGAACATGAACTGTCGGCGCTCCGCGCGGATTTCCTGGATCCGCGCTGGGCCCCTTTCCCTGGCGCGCGGAGCGCGCCAGGGGCGGCGCCAGAGGCGCCGCCGGGGGGGTGCAGCGCGGATCCAAAAAACCCACGCGGAGCGCCAAAAGTTTATGTTAATATGCCGTTTCTCCTTCTTCTATAGATAGCGTTCTCCTTTCGGCGCGCCGAGGTGGCCCCGCCCCCGCCGACGACCCCAAGACCCGCCCACAATGCGGGCACACAACGCGCGGCGAAGGGCGCCGGTCTCCCCCCCCCCCGCGCGGTGTGCCCACGAGGCGAGGGTGTTCCCCCCTTCGGGAGGGGGTGCCCCGCGGCGGGTATTACCAATTGCAGGGTGAAAGGAACAGGGACTGGCCACTGGGGACGATGAGTGTTCCCCGGAGGGGGAAAAAGGTCCCCATACTTCTACCCTCCCTTCGTTTTCCCCTTTTTGGGCCTCTTGGGAGGCCCTTGTCGCCACCGCTGGATTCGCCTCGAAATCTTGGTCCGAGCGCACCCAGGGAGAGGTCTGGGGGGTATCGGTATCGGTCCTTTTTCTGGTTTCCTCCTCCGCCTCCTCCTCCTCCTCCTCCTGGGACGATGAATGCTCCGGCCACGTGCCCGCGACAGCAGGCTTTCGGGCCACGTGGGATCGGCCGGCCCGGGCGATCTTGGGGCAGTTGTGGACGGCTTCGGGGCCGTCGCGTCCTAGGTCCGTCGCATCTCAGGTCCGCCTGGAGCCGGTCCCGGGCCGTCTTGGGAACGTCTTGTGGCGGTCTTCGACAATCGAGAGGGCTCTTGTGCCGTGGCGTGGCCACCATAGGACTGGTTGACGAATCTTCTGGGCCGCTCGGGGCGAGTCGCGGTGGCAGGTTTGGAGCAGGGTGACGGGGCAGAGAGCAACGAAGAATCTGCAGGTTTTCCGATCTGGGCCTCCCTGGGGAACTTCTTGGACGCCTCTTGGGGCCGCCTCTTGGGCGCCCCAAGGTCTATCAACGACGACGACGACCACGACGACGACGACGACGCCGACGGCTTTGGAGGCTGCTTGGGAGGGGGCGGGAATCCTAGGGGGCGCGCGGGTAGGCGCGAAAAGGAGGGCCTCCTTCAGAAGTTGTAGGAGCCAGGCCAGGCTCCTCACTTGCATCAGGTGGCTCCACTACGTACCGAGGTGACACGGTGGAGGATAGGCTTGCTCTGCCTGCTCGTTCTGCTGCGTCGGCGCTCGCCATACGCAGTGCCGACCTCTCCTCTGTTTTCCAACAGCACGCTGGTGGCTTCTTGGCGGCGACTGTGTGAGGACAGGACAGGCCCGCGGTGCTAGTGAACACATGCTTTCCTGGCTTGCTGGTGCCTCGCGCGGAGAGCGGCCCCGACAGCAGGCGTCTGCGCCGCCGGCGTTCGCCGGGACCTTCTCCGAGACGGTGTCCTACACCTGCGCGGAAGGCGACACGCCCCGGGCTTTGATGTTCCAATCTGCCTTAGCCTTGGCCATCAGAACTTCGAGCACCGAGACAGCACCGAAACCGGAGGGTTTTCATGTGTCGAGCGCTGGGAGGCGATACTCATTCGACGCTTCGCTGGCGTGTCGGGCAGAAACTGCTTCGATACTTTTGCTGGGTGCTCGAGCATATTTCTGGGATGTGGTCCTGAACTGCAGTCAACCCGTACAGCAAGGATGCGCGATGAGGACGCAGGGGCCTTGGACGCCCATTCCGAAGCTTTCCGAGCGGGGCGCGGCCAATGAAAGTCGCCAAGGATGAACCGACTCGGATGCAACTCCTGGGAGGTCAAATTCTGATTTCGCCCTGGTCCGAAATCCCGCTCAATCCCGCTAAATCCGGCTTAATCCCGCCTAATCCGGCTTAATCCCGCCAAATGCGGCTTAGTGCGAGGCCCAATTTGGCGTAACAGCGCCCCATTGGGGCTTTATCCTCCTTGCTCCCTCCGACGAAGACCTCCCAGCAGCTGCCTCCTCGGCCACCGAGGAGGCCAGGGGTGCCCGGGGGGGGCACTCCTTGGGAAGGCTCCCCGTCCTTCCTACGCGGGTTGACTGCGCAGTGGGGAGCAACGTGAGCATCGGGGTCCTTCCGTCAACGCTGCGCGGCGCGCCCGCCCTCGCGCCTCTCACGCTCGCGCCCCAGGATCAAGAAGGGGAAAACACACACAGACACAATTCATCGTCGATTCCCCAGAAAGTGTGGGAAAATATTGACAATGGGGGGGAAAGACAAATACCCAGGACATATGGGAAAATATGGGGAATCCTGTTATTCGTGTGTATTTATTTGTATGTCCCTGGGCCCCTTCACAGGAGGCCCCGCAGCACAGCCGTCTCCGGCCGTCTGTCCTCGACCGGGCGCAGCGAGGGGGCCTTCGGGAGGTCTCTGGGGGAGGGGGGGTCTCCCAGGTGGGGGTCGCCCCAGAGGGACTCCAGGCGGGGAATCCATGACCACCGCCTGGGGGATCGATCTTCGCGTGCCTCCACAGGCAGAGGATATGGATATGTTCGGGCCCCCGGGGGCCAGAATGTGTCCACATCCGCCGCCCGCTGGGGCACCAGGACGTCGGCTTCCAGGCGGTGGAGATGGATAAGTCGATGGCGCAAGAGAGCCCTCGCCCTCGCTTCCCGCTTCCTTCGCGGAAGGCTGGCGACTCGATTGCCCAGGCAACCGCTGCCTCGAGCGCCGGTGGGGGGGAGGCTGAAGCGCGCCCAGGCCGGCCCCGGGCTCGAGGCGCGGCAGGGGCAAGAGCGCGACCTCCACGACTCGTGATTGCTTTCGCAGCGCGGACCCCAGGAGGTTTATAGACCCCTCCCCCAGCGATTTCTCATCCCGAGACGTTTTTATGTTGACGGTCCTGGGGCCCGTTGGGGGATCCCAGAGGCCAGAGAAAGTTCTGGCTGGCACTTGTGGTCGCGCTCGCGCGCTGAGCGCGCGGGCCCTCGAGCATCCACGGACGTGCTTGGCGGGGCCCAAGGGCATCGACGGCTGCCTGTGCTCGAGTCTTTCCGAGCCCTTCGACGGATTCCCTACTGGATCCGGCACGGCGCCAGGCTTCGCGCTGCGACGCCAGAGCGCTGCAATTTCCCATTGTTTGTCATGTAGTAGTTGTTCTCTTGCTAGCAAGGTGCCCTTGCTGGGGCGAGCACGTGGTTCCCTGCAGGTCAAGCCAGCGGTTGGAGCCGCTATTGCTCCCGCAGCTGCTCCTCCTCTTTCTCCGTCGTTTGAGTGATGTGCCCTTTGATGGTGCCAGGCAAGAAGAAAACCGAAGCCCACACGAGGGCCTCCCCAGGCCTAAACGGCGGTTGTCCAGACAAGAGGACACGGGCTGGTTGTAGGAGAACTGAGCGGCTTCGCTCCATGGCCCACCTTCGCGGCCCCACAGTAGAACGTACAGAGAAGAGGCAACCCGAGAGACGTATGGAGGCAACTCAGGACGAGGACATTCGTCAAAGGTGCAGACGTCTCTTTGAGCGGGCTGGGTTGAAGTATCGATAGGTGATTAGGAGGTTTGGGGGGAAGGGGGAGGCGGTCGATTTGCGAGGGCTCTGGGTTCCTTGGTGGTTTCTTCAACTGTCCCTGTCGCGCACATCTGCCTATATATTGATCGACCCATCTATATATATCTATATGTCTGAATCTACACATATATATACATCTCTATATATAGGTACCTGTCCACCTACATATATATATATATGTATGCATATATCTATACATCTATCGATCGGTCTATCCATCTATCTAGTTATCTCTCTAGGTAGTTGCGTATATATCGATATATCTATATATATACGTATACAAATCTCTCTCGATCTAAAAATGGTGATGTTGGTGATGATGGTGCGTGGTCGTGGTGGTGATGGCGGTGATGGTGATGGCCATGTGACATGATGGTTTTTTTCGTACATGCTGGTGCACCATGGCGCGATGCCAGCGTCACAGGGTGGTGTGCCCACTTCTATGCCGAAAGCCCGTGCCCACTTTGGTGGCGCATGCTCTAACGGCTGCGCACTCGAGAAAAACACACACCCGTATTACAATCCCACGCGTGTTCGGAGCACTAGCAGAGCTTGGTGCCACTCAGCCGCGCGGCGACGAGTACACATAGCGGACTTCGTTGTTGCCAACATGTCTAATGTCGCCCCCGCCGCCCGGAAGCGAAGCAGCGCCATGTGTGGACGGCGCCCATGGCGAGGTTGCATAAGCCGGGGTATGCGGAATGCAGCAAATGCGGATTCTCAGTTCAAGTGCGACGGCCATGACAACAAGCTCGTCAGCTTATTCCGAAGAAGACAGCCGATGGACCCACTTCCTGAACATGTTGTCGGTGCACGTGGGGCTGCGCACGTCGACGGAAACAAACGCAGGGTAACATTTGGCCAATAGGTCTGGCCGCGTCATGGCTGCGGCTGCGCCACCGCAGAAGTACGTCCGCAGCGCCTCGCTGCACACTCCCAAGTCGGTGTGCCGCGGGCTTGGGGCCGCGCACGCGGGCGCAACCCTGGCGCGCACCCTCGCCAAGGACAATCGCACGGGGTGGTCACCTAACAGACCCTATGCCAAAACCCCTCCGCTGCTCTCCGCCAAGCCAGCCGCCAAGCAGAGGCAGAAGCACGCGGCAGAGGTTCTACCTGCGTGCTGACCGAAATCCCACACCGCCACGCTGAGTTGGCAGTGATGCTGAGCGCGCTGCTTGTACTGTTCGAGCGCGGACAAATTGCCAATTTCTGGGTGTTGATGGATTTTTCTGACTGACGCAGGTGTCGTCGACAGTGGGCCTTGCTGTCCTGCTTGGTGCGCTCGTCGTCAATGTCCTTCAGTAGGCGCAGGAGCGCCTTGCCGAACGAGAATGAACAGCTCTCCAGCGCGCGGGCGATGCCACCAGCTTGGAATCCCATTTCCTGCACGGTCTGCGCTGCAGAGTCTTCGCTCCGAGTGTCTTCGCGCTGCGTCGGGACCGCCTCGCCGGGCTGAGCTGGAACCTGCGCCGAAAAGCATTTGGAGCCGCCAGTCTCCGAAGGCGCCGATGACTGGCAGAGCCTCGTCACCGGCCCGTCGCCTGCCTCGCTCGGGCCCTCCTTTGGCTCGCGCTCTTTGGTCTTGCCTTTCTTCTCAGCGCCGAAAGAGGCTACGAAGGCCCACGACCCAGCGCCCTTGCGACCGGACTTCTCCGAGCAGTACGCAACGTTATCAGAGATTGGCGCCGCGCCGATGGTGGCGAGCATTGCCCGCAACTCGGAGATCTCGCTGTCGGACGGCCCCCTATGCTTGAAACAGAGCGTCCGCATGGCCTCAAAAAGCCGACCTGACCTCGAAGTCGCGGGGGTGGGGCTCGCAGCCGCGAAGTCCTCGATGGGCAGGAGTTTGTGGAAAGCCATGCGCCCCCAGGACATCGTGCGTGCCCAAGCCGCGAAGGCAAGCCCCAGCTTGCTCGCGCAAGACAACCGGGCGCCGGCGAGGGAGACGACGCACCCCTCGCGCGCGGTGGTGCCTTGAGATTTGTGTATCGTGAGAGCCCGAGCCAGTCGGAGTGGGACCCCTGCGCGAATGGTGCCGGACTTGGCGTTCTTGTGCGCAACCTCCACACAAGGGACAGGCACCCACGTCTTGGGCAAGTTTGCGAGACACAGCGGGCCGGCGTAGTCCAGAAAATTGACCACGACGAAGTCAGGCAGGGGGCTGGCCTCCAGATCTCTCGGGTAGTTGCCCGGCCGCGAATTGGGAAAACCAGATCCTTCCAGCGCGCTGCCGCCCGCGCGCTGCTCGCCTGGCGCCGCATACAAGATCGCAACCACGACTCACCGAGTTCCATTCAGCAGACCCAGAGGCACGGCCCCGACGCCCCGCAACCGATTTTGCGACAGCATCACTCGCGCTCCGACGCATAAGTGTGTTGCTTTGTGCACGTTGCGGAACTCCATCGCTTTGCGAGTTTCACCGCGCCCATGGCTATGGCGTGCCTCGCACCGAACAACGACATGGCCCGAGCTGGTAGGGCCTGGCTCGCCATGGAGCGGCGCCCCTGCTGCAAGCTGGTATCCACCATCGGGACACCATCGGGGCAACCATCGGGACATCCATGGGGACAACCATCGGGACAACCATCGGGACACCATCGGAACAGCCATCGGGACAACCATCGGGACAACCATCGGGACAACCATCGGGGCAACCATCGGGACAACCATCGGGACGACCATCGGGACGACCATCGGGACGACCATCGGGACAACCCTCGGGGCAACCATCGGGGCAACCATCGACCATCGGGACAACCATCGGGGCCGCGCCCGCTCCGGGGGGGGGCTGCCCTTTGGGCTCCATGTGGCCTCTACCAGTGCCGGAACTGGCGCAGCTTCGCCTCGCCCGCACGCAGGACACGAAGCGAAGCCAAAACCGAAACCGATTTCCCGGTTGGCGCCACTTCCGCTCACACCTCCCAGCCTCCGATCCTACAGTCCTTCGGACCATCCTCAGCGACTGTCGCTGGCCAGCCTCGTTCGAAAAACGCTAACGTGGCCCTCCAAGGCCCTTGCATCTTTGCCGGGCATCCTTCCGATACGGGTCGACTATAAGGACACCAGCCGTGGTAGCGGACCTCGCGCATTGCGCTTGGCAGATGATATTTGCGTTCGTCGTTGCGACGTGGTGCTGCACGTGATGTGACTGGGCCCCCAAACATCTTTGATCGATTCTCCCCCGAGGCGACCACGTTGCTGAAGGTAATGTTGACAGCGGTCCATAACAGCCTTCTGACTTTGAGTATGGTGTAAACAGTTGACGTGTATGGCGTGTTCCGGAGTCCCGTGGGTTACGTAGCAGGTGTCGATGGTGATAGTGTCCGTGGCGTTTGCAGCGACACTGCTCGCGAGAGCAGACGAAATATCGCCCAGGTGTTCCGTGCAGGACAGCATCAGCCTTCAGTGGTGCGTGCTTCTCTCGCTCCACTCCCGCATGCCGACTGCAAACACAGCGGCCGCAGGGCACACCACCACTGGCAGTCTCGCCGGCAGCGGCGTCGTCAATGCGACCTGTGGTGCAGATGGTGCCTGGCAGTTCGATCTGGCGACGGGGGAACACTGCAAGCCCATAAGTCGCGGGCTTAGTTTCGCGAGCAAGCTCAGAGCACCAGGGGCGAGGTCGAACACAGGCGCTTGCCACGTATCGCGCGAGTGACTCACACGTGTTTGAAGCCTCCAGTTCAAGCTCGGTTGTGGCATCACGCCTTGCTGCGTATGAACGCCTGCCGCCCGTAAAGGACGCAAGGCCTCCAGGGGGTCAAGGCCATATCTACTGACCTCTAAAGCGCATCCAGGGGCTTCGCAGGGAACCCGTAGGCGGCCTCCACGGTCTTCAGGGCCTCTCTGGAGTGGCTCCCGACGTCTGCAGCCACTAGGATCTCCAGGCATGGGGGGTGCTTCTGATGAGGCCAGAAAGGATCGGGAGTGGGTGGCGTAGATTTCCAGAAGGGCTTCGGGCGAAAAGTAAACGCAAGGTGGACCTTGCAGGTTTCTACCGGGTGCGAGGGGGAAGGATCGCCTTCAGGGGCCTCCATGGAGCCTCGGAAGCTCCAGATTGTTTAGGCCGCAGACGGTTTTTTGAGAGGGGGCGGACACCGCTTCTATTCGACAGTCTCCATGGCGCGACGCGCGACCATTCCCAGTGCCTGTGGTGGCGTGGTCATGTGCAGGAGGACGAGGAGGTCGGGCAAGGCGGCGGGGCATGGGAGCACGAGCGCGATCCTCGCTCCAGCGCGTCCTGGGACGCTCTCGCAGGGCGCTCCGAGGCGCTCCGGAGCGGCCGCGGCGCCCGATGCCTCCTCCAGGCCCGCGGGCCCTCGGGCCCCCGAGGCATCGCGACCCGACGCTGCCCCGATCCTGGCCTCGTCTCCGGCGACAGGCAGCCCCGCGCCCGCCCCCTCGCCGGCATCCTCGTGCCGCAGCCTCGCCGAGCCCCTCTCTTCAAGGGCGCCCCTCGAGGGCGCGGAGCTGTTCGCGCTGCGCGCTTCGCGGCTCGGCGCCGATTCCCCCCTCCTCTTCCTCCTCCGCCTCCTCCTCCTCCTCCTCCTCCGCTTCCTCCTCCTTCTCCTCCTCCTCCTCCTCCTCCTCCTCCTCCTCCTCCTCCTCCTCCCCCTCCTCATCTCCCCTGGGAGGCGGCTCGACGAGAGCGCGAGGCTCCTCGCGCTCCGCGCTCCACTTGCAGCGCGGAGCGCCGAGTGAGGCGCCCGTGCTCTCTCGCAGATGGATGTGTAGATGTCTGTCGCAGAGAGCTCGTCAGAACGGGAAAGGGCTGGGAACTGACGAATGTGGCAGGCGACTCAATGAGCGGCGCCCCGGCGCCTCCTCCGGGCCCCGCGCGCGGCCGCCCCTTGTTGGGCTAGACGTGAGAGTGGCTTTTCGCCGGAGCAACCCATGGTGCGGGCCCAATGAGGTCTCGCGATCGCAGAACGCGATGCGATGGTAGCGTCCTGCGCCTTTGAGCATGGTGCCCCCGCGGCCCCCCAACAAGCCGCGCACCAAAGGTCACTCTTACCCAGGGTCGCTCTGGCGTGTTGTCGACGTTTGGGCGAGCTGGGAGTTTCTAGGCCTCCCAGATGGGGTCCGAGTAGATGGGGTCGGAGGATCGCGCCGCATCGCCGACAATATGGGTACAATATACTATAGGTTCGGGTCGGACGCGCGCCTCCAAGGACGACATATGGCGAATTTCGGAAACCCTGAGCCCAAAAACGTTTTCATCTCTTGGGGGCACGTTTTTTACTTCCGCCGTCTTCCGCCGAGCTTCCGCCGCCTTCCGCAGGCGGAGGCGGCCTCGTTTTACTTCCGCCGACCTTCCGCCGCCCTTCCGCCGCCTTCCGCGGCGGAAGAGATGACCACTCTTTCTATCCTCGAAGGCATGGCCTTTTTTGGGAACGCCCCATCTGGTACTAGTATGTCTCTGTGCTCTCCATCTTGGGTGGGAGTTGCCTCTTGCCTCTCGCTCTCTCGCCCCCCCCCCGCCCCCGCGGGTGTGCCCTCGAGGGCCCGCCCCCCGCTGGGAGCGGAGGCAGGCCGCCGCCCCCCCGCACCTCCCCCCCCCTCCCCGCGGCGCCCTCCTTCACGGAGGGCTCTCGGGCGCTTCTTCGCCGCCTCTCGAGGGCTCCTCGCCGCGGGGTGCTCTCGAGCAGCTGCGCAGCTGCGCCTCGCCGAGAGCGTTCTGCGGGGGCCCGCATCGTCCCGAACGGCCACCGGAGGCCCGAGGTATGGCCCGAGAACGTTTCGGAGGACGCACGGGGCACGTGTGTGTGAGCACCCGCACCGATGCTGGCCAGGCCTGTCCGAGGTTCTGCGCTTGGCTGGGCCGAGCCAGGAGGGTCGCACGATGCGCCGATCCCTGGGCCCTGGGAGGAGGCCTGGGCAGGACCGGTTGTGTGTGCACAGAGCTCCTCCTTCTGGACGCACCGGTGGCGTCGCAGAGGGGGGCTGGGGTGTCGGGGCGTGTGGATAGCAAGACCCCCCCTCCCTCTTTCAAGACGCCCCTGGCACCGAGCGCAGCCGAAGGAGGCCCCCCAGCTACCCTGACCTCCGACGTCGTGTTTTTTTCGCAACGTGGACCCCCAGAGGTCTGGACCCCTTCCCCGGGACCCGTTTTCCGCCCTGAGTCGTTTTTGGGCGGTCCTGAGGCCCTGGCGAGGGCCCCCAGGGGCCGACAATAGCGAAAAACCTTCCGTCGTGTTTTTTTCGCATCGCGAGGAGGTCTGGGTAGCCCTGGCCCGCGCGGCCCGCAGCGGGGCACCGCGGCTCTCTCCGGGGGCCGAGGCTGCGGCGCGCCCCCGGAGATTGCGAGGGCCACCGCGGCCTCGGCCGCCGTGCTGGTGGGCGGCGAGGTGGCCTACCGCTGCGCGGAGGGGCACGCCGTGCACCCGCTGAGGCCCGAGGAGCTCGTCGGGTCCCTGTCTTCGGGTCACTCCTCCTCCTCCTCCTCCTCCTCCTCCTCCTCCTCCTCCTCCTGACGAAAACACAAAGAAAACGGGGGAACGTGTGGGGAATCCTGGGATTCGTGAGATTGTTTGTCTGTGTGTCCCTGGGCCCCTGCATGTGGGCAGGGGCTCGTGGCGAGGAGACGGCCCCCTGGGGGGGGAAGTGGGGGCGTCGAGGGTTCCAGGCGCGGGGCCCGCCAGGCTTAAGTCGGGCCTGTCTCTCTACAGGAGGAAGATTCAAAAATAACAAAAAGAACATAGTCTGGGAACGATGTTTCTGCTACTTTTGGCCATTTGGGGGTATCTTTGGACTATGTTTTATTGCTCGTCCAAAATCCGCCTGTATGGGGACATGCCCGACCTAATCTAGGCTACTCAAACCTTCTCGCGTTGCGAAAAAATCACGACGGGAGGTTTCTCGCTGTTTCGGCCTCCGTGGGCTCTTGCTGGGCCTCGGGAGCGTCAAGAAACGACTCGGGACGAGAAACCGGTCCCGGGGAAGGGGTCCAGACCTCTGGGGGTCGACGCTGTGAAAAAATCACGACGTCGGGGGTCTGGGTAGGCCTCTTAAATTGGCTCCGAGTAGATGGGGTCGGAGGATCGCGCCGCATCGCCGATGCATCGACGATGCGGCTCGATATGGAGCCCGAGTTTTCCCACGCCGACGTCGCCGATGCATCGCTGGTACATCGGCGATGCCTTGGCGATGCGGCGCGATCCTTCGAACCCATCTACTCGGATCCCATTTAGGAGGCCTCTATCCTGGCGCCGCGGGGTAGCGAGGTCTCGAACGCGTCGAACGGAAAAAAAAAAAAAGAATGACAGTCGGGCCGAGGTATGAAAGATCGAGGTCGGTTCCGGGCGGGTATGCCCCAAGGTTTTTTTGGGTTTGTTGGAGGTTTTTGTGCATCTTGGGGGAGGGTACCGTCGACTGATCTTATGGTTCGGGGTGTTTTGGCCGGCGGAGGGTCTCATGTTCTTGAAGGATGTTCTTCTGTCCCAGGTCCGACTGTAGGTGTTTCGTAATTTTCGGCGCTGGGGGGCCCTCGCCGGGACCCAGGGTTGTCAAGAGACGAGCCAGGGCCACGAGCCAGCTTTTGGCTTGGCGTTGCTCGGACGAACGCACGCTTTCCTCGGCGAGGGCCATCGAGGAGCAGCCGGGATCATCTTGCCAAACAGCAAAAACAGCATGCACGAAACCAACACCAATGCACGGGAGACGGACGTCCAAGAGACGGCAGGCTGGGGGAGTGGTCCGGAGCTCCGGAGGTCCTGTGCTGAAAGAAGCAAAACATCGCGGGGGGGTTCTGGGGAGGAGGAGGAGGAGGAGGAGGAG